TCCCAAGCTCAAAAAAAGCTCTCAAAGTGAGGCCGAAATGGAGGGGATATCCCACCCTACCCTGAGAGTCCACCTCTCACGGTGCCCCTGAACTCACTTTAAATGCGACTTTGTTGTACATCAAAAATTCAAGTTGGAGGTTGTAGTGGGGTACTCCCTGATGGGTTTTTGGGCAATTTCGAAATAGGTTGTCGGAGCTCCTCGAAAAATAATCGCATTTTTGTGATTTTTTAGGGGTAAAATAGCAAAATTGGCCTCCGGGCGACAAATTAAACCCCCTCTCCCTTATCCTTGCCTTGACCGATCTGAATTTTTAGTATGTTTTTACCTGGTATAAGATGGGACTTTTCTGAAATTTTCATGCCCATACAAATTTTTTTGCTCCCGCGGCAGCGTTGCCAAGTTGCGGACTCCAAAATATCGAATTTAATGATAAAATGAAGGTTTCGGAGTGTGATTTCCATTCAAAATCAAAAATTCAAATTGTAAGTTGTAGTAGGGTACTGCCTGATGGGGTTTTGGCCAATTTCGAAGTAGAGTGTTTGAGATTTTTGAAAAATAATCGAATTTTTGCGGTTTTTTAAGGGTAAAATAGCACACTGAGCACGGGGCGGCAAGTTGAACCTTTTCTCTCTCATCCTTGCCGTGACCGATCTGAACTTTTAGTATGTATTAACCTGGTATAAGATGTGACTTTTCTGAAATTTTCATGCCCATACAAAATTTTTTGCTCCCGCGGCAGCGTTGCCAATTTGCGGACTCAAAAATATCGAATTTGATGATAAAATGAAGGTTTCGAGGTGTGATTTCCTCCAAAATTTCACGAAAAATGTGCAATCTGAGAGTTTTCGATAAGAAAAGGCATATTTGAACAATTTAGAGTTGCACTGTTGCCAGCTTTTGATTTAAAATTCGTCAAAATGACCCAAATCGCGTTGCAACCTCGAGCGCTGGATTTTTATTTCGTTTAGAATTGGTTATTACGGTTCTTCTGTACTCTATACATTTAGGTACCATGAAAATTATGCCATTACTTACTTGATGGGTGCAGCTAACTCAAAAAGAGAGGCCGGATAAAGCGATGAGTCGGGGGAAAACGAGCGGTTCGGGTTGACAGAAAGTTCTTAAATCTACTCCATCACCAGAAAGTAGAATTTGAGAACTTTCTCCCACCCCCCAAACCTTATCCCTGTTGCAGTCAATCCTTTGAACATCTGATCTGAAATTTTGCCCCCGAATTTTTACCAAAAACATGAAAAATGTTTTTGGTAAAAATTCGGGGGCAAAATTTCAGATCAGATGTTCAAAGGATTGACTGCAACAGGGATAAGGTTTGGGGGGTGGGAGAAAGTTCTCAAATTCTACTTTCTGGTGATGGAGTAGATTTAAGAACTTTCTGTCAACCCGAACCGCTCGTTTTCCCCCGACTCATCGCTTTATCCGGCCTCTCTTTTTGAGTTAGCTGCACCCATCAAGTAAGTAATGGCATAATTTTCATGGTACCTAAATGTATAGAGTACAGAAGAACCGTAATAACCAATTCTAAACGAAATAAAAATCCAGCGCTCGAGGTTGCAACGCGATTTGGGTCATTTTGACGAATTTTAAATCAAAAGCTGGCAACAGTGCAACTCTAAATTGTTCAAATATGCCTTTTCTTATCGAAAACTCTCAGATTGCACATTTTTCGTGAAATTTTGGAGGAAATCACACCTCGAAACCTTCATTTTATCATCAAATTCGATATTTTTGAGTCCGCAAATTGGCAACGCTGCCGCGGGAGCAAAAAATTTTGTATGGGCATGAAAATTTCAGAAAAGTCACATCTTATACCAGGTTAATACATACTAAAAGTTCAGATCGGTCACGGCAAGGATGAGAGAGAAAAGGTTCAACTTGCCGCCCCGTGCTCAGTGTGCTATTTTACCCTTAAAAAACCGCAAAAATTCGATTATTTTTCAAAAATCTCAAACACTCTACTTCGAAATTGGCCAAAACCCCATCAGGCAGTACCCTACTACAACTTACAATTTGAATTTTTGATTTTGAATGGAAATCACACTCCGAAACCTTCATTTTATCATTAAATTCGATATTTTGGAGTCCGCAACTTGGCAACGCTGCCGCGGGAGCAAAAAAATTTGTATGGGCATGAAAATTTCAGAAAAGTCCCATCTTATACCAGGTAAAAACATACTAAAAATTCAGATCGGTCAAGGCAAGGATAAGGGAGAGGGGGTTTAATTTGTCGCCCGGAGGCCAATTTTGCTATTTTACCCCTAAAAAATCACAAAAATGCGATTATTTTTCGAGGAGCTCCGACAACCTATTTCGAAATTGCCCAAAAACCCATCAGGGAGTACCCCACTACAACCTCCAACTTGAATTTTTGATGTACAACAAAGTCGCATTTAAAGTGAGTTCAGGGGCACCGTGCTCTACATCAAATCTAAACTCTCCAATCTCCATACAAAGATAGGGAGCAAAATACATTAGCAGGGTTGCCACTTTATTTGGGGACTCCAAAAGTGAAAACACGGCAACCCTGCTCACGTATTTGCTCCCTATTTTTGCATGGAAAGTTTGTTTTGATGTAGAAGTCGACTCTCAGGGTAGGGTGGGATATCCCCTCCATTTCGGCCTCCTTTTGAGAGCTTTTTTTGAGCTTGGGAGATGATTTCAGAGAAAACCAGTGGCACCATCGTGTTTCTCGTGAACTTTTACACAAGAATCAATGGTCAAATCGCAAATCCCTCACACATGCAACATCTCCATTGGACGGCGCCGTCAAATATTGATCAGAATGGAGTGTCACCATTCATAATTCCTTGCCTCACGAAACATTTCCGCCAGGTTTTCATTTGAAAATTAGGCGAAGTAACGATTCTAAGACTGATGACTCCCGACACTCTGATGGTACTAGATTCGGGAATTCGATCGTGTATCGAGGTCTGTATGTATTGCAACGTCTAAAACAGCGTGCGGTGGACTCCGCGGTCAACGTTCTACGCGACTGCGACGGCACGGGGCCCGGTTTAACGTACTGTTATTATCGCACCGCCTCAGTGCACCAACTTACCTTTCCCAGAGAGTATGTCATCCGCGGCATGTCCCAACTCAGCGCCACGATAAGGCCATGGCCTGGCCGAGAGGCCGCGGTCGTTTTCCGTCCGGCTCACGATAATTCGCCGATCCTCCCCCAAAAGGGCCTATATCGATTTCCACGTAAGCTCCGGAAAGCGGGAAATTAAATGGACAACAAGGCTCAAGTAGAAATATAGATACGCTCTAATGAATTCTGCGCTGGTCACCCGCTCAAAGCCGTGTTCCGTTCGTTGCAACTTCCAGGAATTCTCCCGTGAGTCATGTGACCAGACTGATTTAGTGGCCAAGTTATTTTGCGATTTCGACTTATCGATTTGCGATAATGCTTTTGTCATCAATTCTGCCGGGCTAAGAAAAAAACGTCGTGTGAGTCTTCAAACGCTGCAGAGTTTCCTCGGATAAAAAAATAATCTCAGACAACAAATGAATATTTTTCTTTATAATTTGTATACAATTTAATTGCAAATTAATGTAAAATATTCGAAAATTTTAAGGAAAAATATGCAAAACTTTTCTCAAAAATTAATATTTATATTAATTTTTTTACGGAGGAATGGTTGGCTGAATCTGTTTGGAAATTTCACTGAATTTCATCGGCACCACAAAAAAAATTCAGTGAAATTTTCGGACAGCTCCGTGGAAAAATTTCTCGAAGAAAAAATAAAATGGCGGCGGAAATTTTCGAACGTCACATAGCGCTCGTGATACTTTAGCCGGAAGGTGCCGATATACCCTTACAGCATGGATGGTTCATCCTCACGTCATGCAAGGCGTGGATTTGTGAGCAGATCGGCAACACTTTGAGTCGGCTCTGTTTTGACAGCGGCCCCATCATTTGATCGTCGCTGGTGAGCCATCAATGAAGGCCCAATAGAGAGGCGTAAGGCTTGTCGTAAGCCAGACATGAATGAACGAAAAGGGCCATAAAAACTAACCCACAAATAATGGGTCGATGCGTGCCAGATCCCGGCGCGGTGGTGGCTCAAGTACCTTGGGGTTGCTCATGGACTGTAAAACCGTTTTATGGGTTTCTTTTATGAAGTAGGTCAGGGTCGCTTCTACACGCTTTCATTCATGTCTAGCTTCATTAATAAACACAGGGCTCAATGACCGTGAAAATTTGCCTACGCAGATTTGAAACAAAAAAATAAATGAATAATGACTAAATTATAGCACTTGAGCTTTTTTTCTTCCGATAGTTGGTTAAGGGTGTGATGGAAATAAATCATTGCATCAATTTTTTTCTATTTTTTTTATAGATTTTTGACGTGAAGTCAAAAATTTATTCAAGTCAATAGGGGTAGGAGAAGAGTATGTTTATGTAACGTAACATCTTTCTGGACGACGGTAGATTCCTAATTAGTATCACAAAGGAGGAAAACTGATATCAGGTCGTCCTTCAATGACCGTGAAAATGTATCTACGCAGATTTGAAACAAAAAATTAAATGAATGAACGAACAATGACTAAATTAGCACTTGAGCTTTTTTTCTCCCGATAGTTGGTTAAGAGCGTGATGGAAATAAATTATTGCATCAATTTTTTCCTATTTTCTTTTGACTTTTTTTTGACGTGGAGTCTAACATTTATTCAAATCAATAGGGGTCGGTGGAGAGTATGTCTATATAACGTAACATCTTTCTGGACGATGCTAGATTCCTCTAGTTATTATCACAAAGGATGAAAACTGAAATCAGGTCGTACTTGATAGTAAAAAGTTTTGTAAATGTTAACAGAGCGCTTTTGGTCAGCATTTTTTTTCCCGTCTAAGGTGACAATTTAAAACCATTGCTGATGTAGATTCTCACGGAGGATTTCTGTAGATCCATGATAAAGGAATCATGTTTGTTTTCCTGGGAGACGAATAATCATAATCTTATTGAAACAGTAAATGATTTTGATGATAATATTTTGGATTTATTTCATATATAATCTCTTTTTTTTATTTAGTGGTAATTTAAATATACATTTTTAGCCACACCTTATTTCAAACGTAATGGCACCATATGGCTGCCTAAAATTACACACTTTGCTTCATCTTCTTTACCAAATACCGTCCAACTTTTTTCTCGCACAATGATGATCTCCATGCAGGTATTGTAGGTCTCGAAATATTGCAGAAACAGTTGCCTCCACGCAGTATTTGTAATATTTAAAATCTTGAACCCAGTCACTGACATTAGCTTTGACAAAGGGCAGTATTTGAGCCCCTCGCAGTAGGCTGAAACATAAAATGGAAATGGTATTTTATTTTTAGTCATAGAATTCATAGTCATGATCACGTCGAAGCATTATCAGAAACAAGGCAGTGGTACTGTATGATAAAGAACGATTTGCAGTAAAAACAAACTGAATGATTTGGTATGTCAAAGTTGCTGACTTAACATCACACATAATTTTCACATTCTTAGTACAGTGGACTCTCGATAATTCCAACCTCGATAGTTCAGAAACCTCGTAATTCGAAGGAAAGTATTTTTCCCTTGAAAATTTCTCGATAATTCGAAGAAAATCAATTTATTTTTCTCCCCTCAATATTTCGAAATTTTTAAGCTGGCGCGGCCCTCTATAATTCGTAATTGCGACGAAAATTCTCTCTGTAATTCGAAGTAAATATGGTCCTCCCTCTATAATTCGAAATGAGACTGACTGTATATGTATGTTACATCCAAAAGGATTACGCACGAATTGCGACCCGTCCCCCCAAAAAGAAATGGAATTAATTTGAGTCTAAAAGTCTCTTATTTCATACCTCTAAAAATCAGAAAATTCATTTGACAGATCATGCTTGAAATTATTGATTTACTTAAAACTGCGTTGTGTTTTGTGCTCAGTAATACTCTCATCATTTTCAACTCTCCTTTTCTACATATCTAAGTCCCTGATTATCGTTTTTGTTTCAGGTAAGCTGCGAATTTGATTTTCTCAGTTCAAAAAATGAAGGTAAATTTACTCAAAATAAATTCGACAGTATGTTTTCATTCCCGAACCCTTGAAAAATCAAATTTTTGTATCCACTCTATCCTTCCACAATTGGTTTACAATTATTCACACGCTCTACGCGTATTCTCTTCTCCCATGTTTCAAAATTTTCCTCCCAAGTCAAACAATAAGAAAATGCTCCAAAGTGTAGCATCAATACATATAAGGGGCTTCGAGGATAGGGCGGAAAAGTGCAGTTTTTGCCGTTTCAAGCCGACTCTTAAAAACATCGACAAGAAAAAATACTCTTGATTCAATCGGATTTTTGCCAAAATCCCAAGCCTCTTAATTTGAGTGGATTTCCTTTTGATTTAAGCAAAAATCTGATTGAATCAAGAGTATTTTTTCTTGTCAATGTTTTCGACTTCAATGAGTTTTTTTTTCCAGTGTTGTGGTGGAAACGAAGTTTAAAAGTTTATAACATTTTGATGCTTTAAAGTTGGATTTTCGTTCTGAATTTTTCACAGAATATCCTTTCAAACCAGTTTTAGTTGAGCTCATAAATATCTCAATTTTTTCAAAAACTGCGCTCATGTGCCTTTGTCTTTCCAATCCCCTCATATACACTTCAATGAAAAGTTACGGGCGAAAAAATACTAAAACGGAAACCGGCTTTGTAGTTAACCTTGGACATTCCCTCGTGGGTTACATCTGGTACAGTTGGTCCCAAAGTATATCAAAATCACGATTTCAAATTTTTTCCTTCATCCCTTTTCAAAAGAATCCGAGCTCCGCTTTGATAGAGCAACACCGCCCATCTTCGAAGGCGCCCAAAGGAGTGTCCAACCCCGTCCAAAGCGCCTATTTAAATCATCTCAACATCAAATGAAAAGGACGGACGAAACAGCCGACTTGAAATATCTCAATGTTCGGCCTGTCCCCCGTAACTCAAACTAATCTGGAATCGGGAGCGAAGAACAAAAACTCAAAATAAATAAAGCGAGAGACCCCGGAGGGATAAAAAATTGGAAATAATTAAAAATAAACTAGATAGCCGCTCGGCTCGGGTCAGGCGTGCAGGAGGCAAGATGCAGAGAAGGAGATGAAAAAAAGGTAAAATAAAGATATCCGCAGTGATTAATGTGGAAGTCCCGGCAGTCAGCACCGGAGCGGGGAGGGCGGCGTGCCGGCGGGGGGCGCGGGAACCTGCTGCTATTGGCCGTCGCCATGGCAACCACACAGTAAGACTATCATGGCGGCAAAGCTGTGCGGCAATAAATCAGCCACATGTCTGTAGGAGCGGGAGCGCCTTTCTTTTCTGTGCTTCGCGTCTCGCCCCTTCACCCCTTCACCCCTTCGCGGCGCGACGAGGATGAACCATGGCGAGAGGGGTGGCTCCCAACAAAACAGTCGCCGCCGTGCTTATATATACAAAGCTCATATACAGGGTGTCGCAGAAGCAAGGATGTTGTTGAAAAATTTCAAGTTTGAAATGTTTGAATTCTCATTGAAACGTAACCCTCTATGGCACGGTGATACTTGTTCGTAACAACGCATTTTTTGATTTTTTAAAAATCAGATCTTGCCTCTGTTGCAAGATTTTGCAATTTTATAATCAACGATTTCTCTTCGAAACAATAATTACCGAACATTTGAAAATTAGAGGAAAAAATTTAGGATTCCATGTTTTTACGAGAGCTGCAACATAGATTTGCGTCTTCCAGAATCAATATCAATTCATGCCACACTGGAAAAAAAACACATTGGATCTAGAGTCCAGACTCTTGAAAACATTGACAAGAAAAAATACTCTTGATTCAATAAGATTTTTGCTTAAATCAAAAGGAAATCCGCTTAAATCAAGAGGCTTGGCTCTTGATTTAAGCAAACATCCGATTAAATCAAGAGTATTTTTTCTTGTCGATGTTTTTCAGAGTCTTGACTCTAGATCCAATGTGTTTTTTTTTCCAGTGCATAGATGGTTAACCAGAAAATTCACCGGACTGAAATTTATTTCAAGGGGCTCATTTTAGAAACAGCATATTGACGGTGAAACTACCAAACCACGTATCTCGGTTTGTGACATTGCCGACTTCCTGTCACATCTTATTTGTTTTATGGAAAACTACTCAACGTCAATTTTTGGAAACTACTGTGATTTTCCCTCTTCGAGCGGAGAAAACTCTGTAAAAATTTTAAGGAATATCATAATTTGGTCTCCTTTGAACAAATAAAATGTGAGAGGAGATTTTTAAATCTAGCAAGCGAGATACAGGGTTTAGTTGTTCCAACGTCGATGTGTGCTGTGGGTGCCCGGTGCTCTATGTAGATAGGTTCTTTTAGGGATGAGTCAGAAATATGCGTCTTTCGTCCGGTTGATATATGCGCTTCTTACCAGGCCATTAATCTCATTTTAGATGCAATGAACCACGTCCGAATGACCTCTGATTTTCCTGAAAATATCACAGTATTTCTGTATTTATTTTTTAGAATACTATAATAAGAATGGGGTGGTCACCGACAGTGTCCAAATTCATGGTCGCTCATGTAGGCACAAGGTGTATTCCCCAATTTTATTCAAGTCAAAAAGTAGCCTCGATCGCAATACAAAAGTCCTCTAAATTTCAAAATTCCAAGTTCAAGCGTTCAAAAATTTCACATCCGCGCACTGATATAAATTTTGGAGCGAAATTTTGTACCGGAATCTATAATGCTCAAACACTCCGAGCCGAGTGATGTGTCTGCAGAGCGGAACCTATTCCTCTAAGGCAGTGACTCACACTATTATCACACACGGAATCTACTCCTTTCACGGAGTGTCATATGAACTACAATTTTTAAATAGGAACTGCAATTTCTGACTCATCCTAGAGACAACACGCCTGCCATCAATTTCCTTGTGTAGTTAGGTGTTTTTTCGTATTGCAATATGTGTTTTACCTTATTGCAAAATCCAGTCCATATATACACACTGGGGAAAAAAATACATTGGATCTAGAGTCCAGACTCTCGAAAACATTGACAAGAAAAAATACTCTTGATTCAATCAGATTTTTGCTTAAATCAAAAAGAGATCCGCTCAAATTAAGAGGCTTGGTTCCTTGATTTGAGCAAAAATCCGATTGAATCAAGAGTATTTTTTCTTGTCGATGTTTTTAAGAGTCTGGACTCTAGAACCAATGTGTTTTTTTCCCCCAGTGTGCTAATTTTACGAATTTACATCATTCAGGTTTTTTAGGCGCTATATAGACTCCGGCACCGAATCTCATTCTTTAATTTTTAACAGTGCATCCGAACCTTTCGAGACCCCCTGTATCACCCTCTCTCCTTCTCATACATGTATTCATATTTCGTCTCACTCTCCTCCGTGAGGTCCTCCACCATCCTGGGAGGATGTTTATTGTATCGGATTGGAGATCCGTCTCAGACAGTCATTATAAATGAATTGTCAGACGAGGGTAATGTGTGCACGAGGACCTTAAAAAAATGTTCCGTTTTAATTTTATTTCTTAATCTAATTCCCGGGTCTACGCCTTACATCTGCCACGGAGGACGGAGGTCCCGGAGGCGGCTTCTCTGAGAGGCTCTACCTGTGACGAACCGATTCTCCGCGGCTCTGCGTTTCTCGCGCCAAAAATGCGCCTTTGATTGCGTCCGCGTCGAATCGTTGTCACCTTTCGAGTGCTTGTGTCGATAATATTTTCCTTCCTCGAATATCAACGTGAAAATATTGATGTCTTCCCGGCTCGCTGAGAGCACGAGTGGAAATGAATACTATCGATTTGGTTTCTGTGTTCGTAGCTTTTGAATCCCCTTCAAAGTCCCTCCATTGTCAGCAAATATGCTTATTGTGTGGATGAATGGAAGTTCAGCAGAAGGTCTGCGTTTTCTGTATTTGTACTGGAATATTATGACGTCAGAGCTCCCTAGAGTCTCAGTGTTCAAATGAATATCGAGGGCCAAGGAGCAACACTGGAAAAAAAAAAAACACATTGGATCCGAAGTCCAGACTCTTGAAAACATTAACAAGAAAAAGGAATCTTGATTCAATCAGATTTAAGCTTAAATCAAAAGGAAATCCGCTCAAATTAAGAGGCTTGGTTCTTGATTTAAGCTTAAATCTGATTGAATCAAGAGTATTTTTTCTTGTCGATCTTTTTAAGAGTCTGGACTTCAGATTCAATGTGTTTTTTTTCCAGTGAATACCGCCTAATTGACCATTTTGGGAAACATGAATAGAAAATTTGCAGGTGTCTGAAATTTGATGAATTTCGTGTTTAAGTGGAAGCTACGGGGTGAACTGAACACGAGGATACCCTTGGTTCATGAATTGAACAATTATTGGAGAAGTTATGACAAAATGAGCTAATTTGCTAAAATACGTGTGTTTAAATGGGAAATGCCGCCAGATGAAGTCACTATAGGCGGTGCATTTTCTCTTTTTTAAATCTATCTCCCATACTATAAAAAAATCATAAAAAATGCTGCGAAATCAGCTCTTTAAGCATTTTTAGATGAAGCAATACAAAAATATCATGAAAATTCTCCATTGGCGACTTTGCCACATTCGACAGTGTGAAATACGCACGCTGATGATTTTAGTTTTTTTCCAATTCCGTACGTCTTGCGAAGTTGTCCAGTCGCAAATAGGCGGTATTGTTTCTAACCCATCGAATATGGAGACAGTCCGACACGGACGAATGCATTTAATGGCATTAAATTGCAGGCTGGTTATTGAAATAGATGGACAAAGCTGTTTGCAAAAAAAGGCAAAGGAAACATTGAGCGATATAATCGATGGAAGCGGGTGGTTGCATGGGACAAAGGAGGTAGGCAATAGACTTACTAACGGCAACCTGCGAGAGACCTTTTAGTTACTTCATCATTTTACCCCGTGATTTACAATAATCTCGCACGGTTCAACCCTTAGGATCGGTTAATTTTCCCTTTGTCATATTTGTCTATCGATTTTAATAATCAGCCCGGTGCTATAAATATTAGAGTGATATCTGGAGTGTACCTCACTCCGAATCTTGTTTGTCTAGCTGTAAACAATTGCAACTAAGTCAATACACTTTATTAAGACACACGAATGGAAAAAGAATTCCGGCGATTCTGTTCTCCTGTAATTTTTTTAAAAACTTTTAAGAAATGTGAGGGAAAACTGTCGAAAAAAGTTGTCAAATCTAGTAAAACAGCAACCTAATACGAAGTTAACTTTATTTTGGAAAATAATTTTTGGTTTTACCTCGACTTAAAAAAAAATCAAGCAGACAAAATTAGAGTGTCAATAACAGTTAGATTATCTATCATTACTCAAACTATTGTAAAAAATTTCCTCAGTTTCATGATTTTTCCGCTAAAATTCACAAAAACTCTTCATAAATCATGCACCGCTCGTTCCTATGACAGCAATACCCTCAGATTGTACCGAAACGCAGTATTTATGCGAGGATGGATCAGGTGACCCTAGACTCAGAGTCTCACGGTTCTTGATACCTATTTAGGCGATGATAGAATAAAATATTGATCCAAAATACCCTCCATTTTTATTGTTCTTTCGCGGCACGGTAGGATCTGCTTATTATGTTGTACACGCTTTTCATCAAGTTTGGGGTGAAACGGAACGTTAGGGTAGAGCTCGAAACGGATTCAGTACAAAATTGCCAGATTGGATTTAAATTTTAACATTTCATGTGCCAAAACTTATGTGTATGATAAACTAAAAACATCTCGCCGCGGCAAGAGGTACTCCTTGTAATTTTTTCACTCTAATGAACGACTGCTTTTTCTAAATAAAAATTTAATGCCTCAGAATTAATTCTTATTCAGGTGTTTTATTTAGTATTAACTCTTAAACATTTATTTGAACGAACAAGCTGTTGACCTAGGCGTAAATACTGAGATAAACCATGAAAGTTGGGTACACAGTTTTTCTAAATCAATGTTGCATTCACGTAAAATTATCTCTATTTTTCAGGAAGTTAACCTCAGTATGGGGTTTTTTTTCGCATGTAAAAATTAATAAAGAAATGTATGTTTACCTGGTGTTTACAATCTTATTTATGCAATTTTGAGCGACTTGTTTTCCCAATTCAGACTGTTATGTTGCATTCTTGCGGTAGATTAAAGTTAAGTCCACAGATACTTCTCCGGATTGAATATTGTGTGACGTATTCCTTGAATAACAGAGAGTAAAATTTGATTATCTCACAAATCAAAACCATGCCACTCTACACTGAGAAAAAACTATGGTTTATAAACCTATTAGAGGTAAATATGGAACACCTATAATAGTCGTAAATAAACTAATGATTCTCGGTCTGTGAACCATACTAAGGTCTCTGTACCTAATTAAGGTACCCCGTACCATAACTAAGGTATATGTGCTATTATTATATGTAGAGGTACTACTATTAGTGGTGTTCCATATTTACCTCTAATAGGTTTATAAGCCATAGTTTTTTCTCAGTGTACAAGATAGAAAAACATTTTGAAAATGATAATTTGTGTCTAATTTTTTCTGTAATATTGAGTATTACATTGAGGAAGATTTATCTCGAAGCTGCCTTGATTTGCCTTCACTGGAAAAAAAAAACATTGGATCTGCACTGAGAAAAAACTATGGCTTATAAACCTATTAGAGGTAAATATGGAACACCACTAATAGTAGTACCTCTACATATAATAATAGCACATATACCTTAGTTATGGTCTCTGTACCTTAATTAGGTACAGAGACCTTAGTATGGTTCACAGACCGAGAATCATTAGTTTATTTACGACTATTATAGGTGTTCCATATTTACCACTAATAGGTTTATAAACCATAGCTTTTTCTCAGTGTGGAATCCAGACTCTTGAAAACATTGACAAGAAAATGGACTCTTGATTCAATCAGAGTTAAGCTTAAATCAAAAGGAAATCCGCTCAAATTAAGAGGCTTGGTTCTTGATTTAAGCTTAAATCTGATTGAATCTAGAGTATTTTTTCTTGTCTATATTTTTAAGAGTCTGGACTCTTGATCCAATGTGTTTTTTTTTTCCAGTGTACGGTCCTCTTGAGTCTAAGTATTTTTAAGAATATTCCGGAAATTGTTCACATGGAAAGGACGATACCACAGCATAAATAAATACTAAAGATACAATATCAAAGATCCAAACGAGGACAAAAGTCTCAGGGCTCCTAAAGGTGGATCGGAAACCATATCAACTCTTAAAGTCGTTAGACGGTGATTCGTAATCATGAGACCCGACGGGACATCTTTCCAACTTTCAATAATTTGAGCTATCGTTTGCGCCAACCGAGGGAAACAACCATGAAAAACCGCCACAAATTACCCAACCCCTCGGCAAGGCGCTTTAAATCCATTCAAAATCCGATCGAATTCGATCATGTTGTGGTTTCAATCCAGGGTGCAACCGGCTATGAAATTCAAAAGATGTTTGGGCGCCCGTAATCGGTTCGATGACGCAATAAACGCACCGCGGCGCGTCGCAGAACTCATCAATTCGAAGGGTGTTGAGTGACGGCCATTCACAAAACGGTCAAACTGTCCTCAAATGGGATATTGAGACGTTTATCTCCGTTGATGGACGCCGTGCCGCACAGTGGATCGAGTCAAAAGGAGAAGTTGGGACAAAATTTGGAATATGCCAGTTTGAGTAAGGAGCCAAAGTGTTATGTTCACTTTTACTTCATTTTAAAAAAAATTGTTCATAAAGCTGAAGCTCTTCAGCTTTTGTCAGTAAGCAAGCTTTTTGTCAATTATGTTCCTATTTACGCCCAAGTTACCAGCAATTTGTCATGATTCTGACTGTTGTAAAGTTTTCTGTTGTTAATACGGATTGTTATAATTTATTGTTTACCAATGTTATACATACTTAACGTTCTGAAGATGGCCAAAAGCCGAAAAGCTCCAGCTTTATAAACAAATTTTTTTGAAATAAAATAAAAGTGAACGTAACACCTTGGCTTCTTACTCAAGCTACAACATATTAAAAATGGTGTTACTCATGAACGGTTTCATAAAAATTTGGAACCTTTAAACGCTTATAACTGCACTCATCCAAAACTTTGAGTAACCAAAAGTGGCTCCTTTGGTTTCCTCGTAAAATTTTCATCTGATAAGCACCCCATTAAATTTTAATTCTGACAAAACACTCAGCACAATTTGCAAATGTAGTCAACAATTTCATGTCCGACTTCTCTGATTGACTTGATCCACTGTGTGTCGCTGCGGCGTGCGCTTGCGGGATACGGTCCTATCCTTTGGAACCCTTCTCTCCCTTCGATTTATTTACTTTTTTCGATGATCGCAAATTTGGAACAAATAGATGCCGTGAATTAGCGATTCAACTGGCTTTTGAATCGGCGGGACGTTATCCATGATCTTAGGGAGCTTAGCGCCTGGGAACATTTCAACGCCGCCTGGGGACATTTCAATCACCCTTGTTTGGTGTCTCGAAATCCGAGTGTGGGGTTATCGAGCGTTATTGGGCATTTTGTCGTTTTTTTGACTGCTCTCGCTATCTTTTGACGATTTCTTTTCAAGCCTAATCTATGTTTACTCTCACAGTGCGAGAAAATGCATTTAACTCGACCCCAAGTATCAGTGATCGCGATAAGTCATTATTTGATCGGCGAATGTATCGCGAGTTTATTGACGTCGATTAATTGCAATCTTATCGGATAAAAAATTGCGATAAATTGCGATCTAATCGTATAAAGTTGCAATAAAATTGCGATTTTATCAACGGCGCATTATCGCAATATTATTGAACAAAAAATCGTGATAAATTGAGATAAAAATTCATATTCTCAAATAGCATCAAACCCTGAAAATTTTCCCTTTTCACGAATCAACTGCAGCATTGAATAAAAAAAAGCCAGTAAAAGAATAGTTACAAAGTCATGAAACATTAACAATAGGCGCGATGGCGTAATATACCGCAGGAAATTTGTGATGCAATACTTCTTTTCACAAATTTTCTCAAATGCAGATTGTAAATTCTAAACCTAGGAAATGCCATCAGTTGTCGCTATAATGCGTAATTAATTGCAAAAGAGTCTAAATAGTGAACACCTCCACTTCTTTAAATTTGTGTCAGATTTTCATGATAAGAATTTTAATTTTCTGGCTTTTGCATCCCTTTACAAGATATTGCAATATAATACACACGATGGCTAATATCCGGTTTGAATTTCCACCCGTCAATTTTCTAACGTTATCAGCCCATAATGGCAGCGATGCATTCTGCGGCTCTTTTGTTGTAAAAAACGGAGGCCCCCATAAGAAATCTTCAGCCCTCTTGTAAACAAGAAGCTTAATGTAGCCGGGTAGTACCATAGGCGATCGTTCCTTGCGTCAAAAAGGGGTTGCGTCTGCACAGTTCTTGAAGGCGTTTCTCGAGAAACAGCTGGGTGCCTCTGATTTGTGAGGGCTTTTTTATTATTTTTTTTTCCAGCCGCCTTTAATATCAAAACCATGTAAATCAGGTGGGATCTTGACTACATCAGTCGCGTTTCTTGGAAGTTAGCAACACTATTTTGATTACATTTTGCAATAAGGAACCATTATTTCCGGCCCATTTTAGAAACAATATACGTGCCATTGGTTTCCCTATGCAGATATGTGTTTTTACGGGAGAACCAGTGATAGTGGTTCTTTATTGCAAAATGTAATCCATTTTTCCTCCTTTTAAATCCAATTTGATGATCAATTCAAGGTGAAGCGACCTGTCATAATTGAAATGGAAGATCTCATCTTAGAGTCCATCATTGTTTAAGTGTTTCAACATTGGAAAGAAAACAACAAAATTTTAAAACTTATTTTAACAAACAAGTGTTGAAATTGCCGCAACGACATGAGTTGTTTTTTGTATCAAGGAGAAAACATGTTGAGCCCAACAGGGTAGAAGCTTATATCAAGCAGGAATCTGTTTGATTCGGGAAATTTTGTTCTTGATCCAAGAGAAAATCTCCTTCATGAGAATTCAAGTCTTTTATTCTGGTAAAGGCCCAAAGGCTTTCTCTCAGCATTATAATCACGGAAGGAAACATACAACAGTTTGATGTGAAGCTGGTTTTAAATGCGATTTTGTAAGTAAGGCTCGTTTCGGAAACGGCGAAGTTTAGAAATTTGACCTATTTCAGATAACGGAAAAATTGAGGTAAGGCACAATTATGTCGTCGGTTGAAAGTTTTGGGGCATTTTCATCAGCTAATAAAAAGGGTCTGTCCGGCAGCGGGTGGTACCTCAGCTGTTCCGTTCGCGAAAATATGAAAACCTCAAAACTCTTGACTTCTTTCAATTTCTGACTTCAGCAGTTTTGGGAGACATAATTTTAATTGAAAATCATTAAAAAGTAATACATTTCTAATTTAATTTAAAAACTTGGTGTAACTTTCAGGTATACCTTGCATCTAAAATTTTGCATTCGTATACGGAAAAAACTAACGTAAGGAGAAAAAGCAGATATTCCGCATTTGCTTACAAAAAGAAATTAACGTTTTGAGGACAATTGTTCGTTTTCCTTTAATTTCACGGCACATACCCTTGGCTTTCAATTTATCCGCGGCCCCCTATTTTGAATAATCCAGCAGCCGCGGGGAAGTTACGAAAAAAAGGGAAAGCTGACGATTTCACTAAGAAAATACGAATAAAATAAAATGAAATCGACATTGCCTTTGTATTAACTCGGTCATTACTTTTATTCGAGCTTCACCGGGAACCCATCGAGAGAAATAAACTAACATTTTCTTCCTCCCTCGCGATCGCAGTTGCAGAATCGCACCGAAAACCTATTTTTTTAAATGCATTTTGACGATATTTTCCGAGAATTTGACAAAGGCGCATACGACCGGGCAGTCGGAGACGAGGCAAGGTGACTGGCAAATCAATGTGTTTGGAAAAGCGCAGAACTGCCCAGCTTAGTTAGAAGCGCGTAACTGCAACGATACCTTTAAGCGTGTTCGTCGTTTTTGCCTTACGTGGGATAGTACCCTCTCTCGAGCCCTGAAGGAAAAAGGATCCGATCATTCCGATCGCCATTAAAGCCAAATTGAAGACGAAAAATTAGGTATTCAGCGTGTGTCCTAAGAGTCTCTCTTCCTCCGAATTTATTTCACTTACGGTGCTTTTCTATTCCGTTCAGCTTAAAATTGATATTGATTTCTT